TCATAGCTATCATAACTGGTATTGTTCGTATAAAGCCTTCGCACGCGGTTTTTGAGCCCGATGGCTTTGCCTTCATCGAGCACGTGGCGGAGATAAGATTCGGCGACGAGGTCGCGGTGTCGGCGGTGGAAAGAAAGGCGGTAGAAGCGGCGGTCGGGGGAAGAGGGGTAGAAGGAAATAGCATGGGATTTCGAAGGAGCGATCTGAGAGGACCAATACAGTTTGGCGCCGGAGAAAGAGTCAATGACCTCCTCGTGGTCGTCCATGGCAAGGATGAGGGTGGAGCCGGAGCCGGAGCCGGAGCCGGAGCGGTCGGAATCCGCCTTCAGACGTCGAGCGTGCTTGGAGCAAGAGGAAGCGGAGAGGTAAGATTCGACGGCGGCGTAGGCCTCGCTACGCTTGAGGCGCTGGCCAGTGTACTCGAAGAAGGTGATCTCGATGTAAGGATAGAAGATGGAGACGAGCTTCATGGCGTGGACGCCCAAGCGGTCACCGAGAATGCTGGAGAAGTACTGCCGGAACATTGCCCACAGGAACATTGCGCTCGCCAGAGCAGAGCCCCATCCCGCCCACTTTTCCTCCATTCCCATTCCTGCTTTCTCTCTCTCTTGCTCTGGTAAGGGCTAGCGCGCTAAGTATGCTGCACTTTATAGATAGGACAGTACCGTTCAAGATTCCATGGCAGGTGTTTATCTACAGTTTTATTTGTTTTTTATTTTAAAAGATTATCTCTTTTATAGTATAATTCTTGCCGGACAAGCTATACGTTATATTTATATTTTTAAATATTTTCTTTAAAAATTTAAAATGATTTCGAATGACGAATTGACTTGCCGACGACCCGAAGACCGATGTAATCCAAGCAGGGTTGTAAGCACACTTTGCTGGACCGAAGAAAGGCAATTATATGAATAAATTATAAATGTTATTATGTAGACATTTTAAAAAGACCAATATCGTAAGACAGTGGGTTTTAGCTTTTAATCCATTTTTTTATTTTCTTCGAAAAATACGAAAATATTTTGAGTTTGTAAAGAAATCCAAAACTTTTTTCATTTTCTATATAAAATATAATTTGATATAAAATTTGAGTATAATATTCAAGAAAGTAATGTAA